TTCTAGGGAATCTAATTCTCCTAGTACTCAGGAATATTCTGGACCCAAAGGTAGCGTTATTTTTCAGTGGCCTTATAAAGTACATTAAATTAGGTAAATTAAATAACCAATTGTAGCATTTGTTCTATTCAGAACAAATACAGAACTCAGACAACATTTTTCATAGAATGTTTCTACTTGATTTTACTTGTTGGTACCAAACTACTGTGTCATGTTTTTGTGGATGTACCAATTTTACTTTTGTGTTTATATTGAACAAATTCAGCTCCACTTTGGCCAACTTTTTAAATGTTTAAAAGACATTTAAAGATACATGATAAAGATCTATCTGCCACCTTTGAGACATTACAATCCTAAAAATATTGAGAAGTTCCACAAGTCCAGTGGACTACACTCTCCATTTTACTTAGGACTGTAGCAGTACAAATCAAGTTTGAACAAATCTTTGGGGAGCAATCAAAAGGTATTTTATGTGAGAAGTGGAGAAACTGTAACATTTTGTTTTCATGCATTAATTCCATACAGCTAAATAAATAAAGTATCTCTGTGTGTAATCCTTGTACACAATCTGAAGACAAGCATATGTGATACTTTTGATAGAACACTGAAACCTTGAAAACAGAAGCTAGCTTTTGACTCTGCAGGCGTCTTCATCAGATTGGCATGACAGAGCTGGAGGTTAGGCAGAAGTTCCAAAATCTGTGACCAGATGGTGCAGACTAGGTTCCCTGTTTAATGCACATTTTAGAATCTGTTTAGATTTCAGATTTAATCTCTAGAGGTGTGGATTAGAATGCCTCAACCCTGTTAGACAAAGAGCTGCCAGTCACCAAATATCTCACCCACAGAACAAAGCTCTGCGTTGAAGCACATGGTTACTTTTTGGTTGGGGTTGCAATATGGATTTTCTCACATGTAAACTAATGTATACTCTTTTTTTCTGGTAAAATTCCTTGTGCTGTGCAGAAGTACAGAGACTCACAGAGGAGAATAGGTACAAGTTATCCCAGATAGTCTATCCCTTTCTCATTAACTGGCACTTAGGGTATCAGTATCTCACTCTTGAGAGATTAAAAATGTTTCATCACTTTCAGTTATGAATAGATCAACGCCAAACTAACAGATACGTATCATACTCCCTATTTTATTGGGATAAAATTTAGTTTACACATTAGGTCAACCAACTGCAGCCAAATTAAAACTATTACCCAGTGGTTGAAGGAAGATGCCATCTTGAGTCCACAGCCCTGCTTGGGCCATGTGTTGATACTGAAACCACGTGTTTGGGTATGAGATATTATGTTTGATGTGCTTAGAGACAGCATAACTTAGAGACTAGTATAATTAGTTTGGGGCATTCTGGTCCACATAGTTAGAAGGGAAATCTAAAATTTACCATCTCTGAAAAGATTGTGCTGCTCCCACTTTTGACTGAAAAGATGCAATGGCAAAAAAAAAAAAAAAAAAAAAACGATAGGAAGGAAGGGGTGGGGGTATGTTACCACCTTCTTGCAGTGACTAAAAACGTAACCCTGTGCACCTTTACCCAGAAGTCTCACTATGTTTAAAGGGGTGTATTCCTACGTAAACATTTACAGGATTGTCATCCGACTAACTTGAGCTTTCAATCATGTGTGCCCTCTGTGAGGTTTCGGTGTGTACCAGAGCTATTCTTGGTTCTTTTGTAAGAAATGTATTTATTTTATTTATTTTATTGGACTTGTATCCTGACCATCTAGACCACTGGTTCTTAACCTTGGGTTACTCAGATGTTTTTGGACTGCAACTCCCAGAAGCCTTCACCATCAGCTCTGCTGGCTGGGGTTTCTGGGAGTTGCAGTTCAAAAACACCTGAGTAACAAAGGTTAAGAACCACTGATGTAGACCAAAGGTCTACTCCGGCCAGCATTACAAATTTAAAAACAGTAAAAATCCAATAAATACATACTATAAATCCAAGATGGCAAAATGTGAATTTAAGATATGGCAGGAGATCCACAAGAATTTAAGATCCCCAACCCACAACAAATCAATTCCCCCCTCCTTCCTTGAAGTGCCCCTCTTCAGTTGAGGATTGGTCTTTTAACAATGGAACATTTATTGTGTCATGAACAAATAAACTAGTGTCGTTAACCAGCTCTGAGTCTTTGTCTCCTGCCAACGGGACAGTCAGGGGTTTCCAATCTTCAACAAGGAAAGTGTTGCCATAACTAAGGTTCCACGGACCCTGTTGTTCAGGGTGTCCACTCTCTTAGTGTGGTGGTCAACGGGCATGGCAACAGGGCCACAGCCTCATATTGGAGAAGGTCGTCCCATAGGGTATTCCTTCCCCGGCCAATCCAGTGTTTCCCAGACCTTCTCAACTCCTCCATCTTCATCTCCAGAACTCTCAGTCCACTTCTCTTTCCTCTCTCCTCAACTCTTCCCCTCTCCTCTCTAATCTTCCTCCTCCACTCCCTTGCCTCAGTTTCTCCCCAATAAGAAGGTCTAGTGGGAATAGCAGACCTCCTCCAGTAGTCAGCCTCCTCCCTAGGTACCCTGATCCTTTCCCATTTATCAGTCCAGAGATCTTTGGTCCATATCCACTTCCAACCCGGAGGCAAGGGGTCATCCCTCCTTATAACTTCCCCTTACCCCTCCTCTCTCTCTCTCTGTGCCTTCCTTTCTTGTTTCCTGCCTCTTTTGTCTCTCACTTATTCCCATCCCCCTCATATACTGGATCACTGGTTCTTAACCTTTGTTACTCAGATGTTTTTGGACTGCAACTCCCAGAAGCCTTCACCATCAGCTCTGCTGGCTGGGGTTTCTGGGAGTTGCAGTTCAAAAACACCTGAGTAACAAAGGTTAAGAACCACTGTACTGGATCAATGTCTCTGGTTCCTTCCCCTTAGGGCAGTGGTCCCCAACCTTTTTTATACCGTGGACCGGTTTGGGGGGGGGCAGGTCCATGTGTGGCGGGCACCCCCTGCACTCGCACGCATGCATGAAGAGACTGCGCATTGGTGTGCAGGCACTCACGTGCATATGTGAAGGGGGGTGCTTGTGCAGCACGCACCCTCACATGCAAAGGAGCTGGGTGGGTGGGGGAGTGCATGTGGGGGGCGGAAGATCTGTCTCCACCACCCAGTCAGTCTGGCCAAGGCCATGGACCAGCACTGGGCAGTGGACCAGAGGTTGGGGACCCCCTGCCTTAAGAGTATTCTGCACCCCCTTCTGGACAACCATCTTGAGTCCACAGCCCTGCTTGGGCCATGTGTTTATACTATAACCACATGTTTTGGTATAAGATACAGTGCTGCCTCTCAAGACCATGGAAATCACTATCTTGCAAAACCCAGTTCCCCATTTGAATACATTGAAATATATTTAATGCATTCCAATTAGGGGGGAAATCACTATCTTGCAAAAATTATCCATAGAAAACATCATCTTGCAAAACACAGACTCCCATAACATATTGGGGAAAAACAATCCCCTCACCTGTACTGTCTTTAGAAATTCAATGGGTCTCAGATGCATCACCAGGTTTTACTGCCTTTGTAAGAGATCATAATAAAGAAAAAATGCAAAAAAGTCTAGAAAAACCAGAAAAATCACAAATGCAATCTCCCATTAACACAAATTATGCAATTTAGTTCTCTTTGTTTGGGAAAATCATAGGGATCAGTAGCATCATCAACACATTTAAAGCATAATGGGTAAGCTTCCCCCTAGGAAAACTACTTTTATGACATGGTGTTTCCCCTGCAAGGTATGAGTTGGAATGGCCCTTGCATCTCCTACCCCCTTCTGTCCCCTGACCCCTCAAGGCATGGTGACCCCCTGGCTGCCCCTCCCACTCATTACAGGGCTGCACAGCCCCAGTCCTGCCAGAGGCCGAGAGCTCCTCAGTGTTTTGGGGTGCCCTGTGGGACCCCCATCAGGGGCTAGGTGTTCCTCCCACAATCCTCTAGTGCACAGATATTAGCATAAGGTATTAGCATATGCTAATACATGTGCACTAGAGGATTGTGGGAGGAACACCTAGC